TTATGGTTTAATAAGGATCCAAAGAGCAGGGTTGCTGGGGGTTGGACAGGTGTTTGTTTAAAACAAACTGCTTCTAAATGTAGAAAAGAAAGGTCGTTACATGCTGCCCTTCCATTTCTCACTAAATAAAAACCGAAAGAACTGTGGATGCTGTAAATCAGGAACAAAATCAGAAGTTGCTGGAAAAGCTCAGCAGGTCTGGCAGCATCTGTGAAGAAAACATCAGAGTTAACGTTTCAAGTCCAGTGACCCTTCCACAGAATATAAAAGGAGCTATCTATAACTCCTAACACTACACTGAAACAATAGAAAAGCCGTCTGGATGAAACACTCCGAGCTGACTGCCAGGTACATAGTGTCCATACCAGTTATATTTTTACGGACATAGACAGGGATAACATCAGTTGTGTAGATGTCATGCATAATTCAGAAGGAAAATGTCCTTTTTGTTGGAGGAAAAGAAAGGAGTTAGGTCTTCCTGTACAAAGATTTGCTAAAGGTTCAGTTCAATGCCATAAGATTAATGCAAAAATAAAATGAAGTAAAAAGATATATTGGTGGGGAAATCAATTCAAGACAAACAAAAAAAATCATTAAATTAAAGACCTCTCTTGGACGAGGTCTTGAATACCACGTGCTGCTTTGGTTTTCTCACATAATAAATGATGTAAACATTCTGAAAAAATTGTCACTAGATTGATACCAGTTGAAGGTGCTGAGTTACCATGGTGGCACTTTTGAGATCTGAATAAGGGATTTCATGGAATCATAAAATCCCTACGGTGTAGAAGCAGGCCAGTCGGCCCATTGAGTCCACACTGACCCTCCGAAGAGAATCCCATCCAGACCCACCCTGCCCCCCATGCCTGTAACCCTGCATTTCCCATAGCTAATCCATCCAGCCTGCACATCACTGGACACTATAGGCAATTTAGCACAGCCAATCCACCTAGCCTGCACAGGACTGTAGGAGGAAATTCGAGCACCCAGTGAAAACCCACGCAGACATGGGGATTAAGAGCAAACTCCACACAGACAGTCACCCTTGGAATCGAACCTGGGTCCCTGGCACTTTGAAGCAGCAGTACTAACCACTGAGCCACTGTGCTGCCCCAAATATGAAATATCTAGATTTTGCCCATGATATAGACTACCTGACTTAGTTAGAGTTCTTGGCATAGAAATGTGTTAGATATCAAGATGTTCTTCTTTGAGCAGAGAGTCATTGACAATTAGAATAAGATATGGGTTTGTGCATTGATTGCAGACTGTTAATGAGCGTTGTAATGGTGAAAGATTTCCTAGCTAAGATAAATGTCCCAGCAGACACAAGGTCTTCGGGTATTGGAGGATTTATGTCATTTTGTTTTTGCTGCAATTCAGTTTGCTCACCTTTACAGTTCAAAAAAGAATCTGCCAGTTATCTGGATTGGTTAAGGTTATTTTCTTTGCCTTTCTTTGGAAATTGTGTCGCTGCTAGGAATGATACTCAGTTACCCCATTACTGTGAAGTACAAGCCTGATCAAATAACTGCTTTTTTCTCCCTGTCTGTTATTTTCATCTGCGTATGTGTCCATCCTTCAATTGCCCACAGGCCTCCAAAGAACAGGTTGCATAATCCAAATGCTTTCCGCGTACTTCTTCACTTCTTTCGAATTTTCCTTAAAACCGCAATGTTCTACCAAGGTTTTGGTTACCTCTTCTAATATCTCTGCCTTTGGCTTGGTGTCTAATTGTTTGATTACAGCTCTGTGAAGACTTTTTTAGAATGTTTCTGTGTCATGGCACTATTGCCAGCACTGCACTGTTAAGGCCCACAACTAATGACAGTCCAGGTGTCAGAGTGTAATTTTTTGCTATTCATTTGTGGGATGTGGGCGTCGCTGGCTGACCAGCATTTCTTGCCCATCCCTAGTTGCCCTTGAGAAAGTGGTGGTGAGCTGCCTTCTTGAACCACTGCAGTTCACCAGCTGTAGGCTGACCCACAATGCTATTAAGGAGGGAATTTCAGGATTTTGATCCAGCGACAGTGACAGAACGGTGATATATTTCCAAGTCAGGATGGTGAGTGGCTTGGAGGGGAACTTGGAGGTGGTGGTGTTCCCATAAGTCTACTGCCCTTGTCCTTCTAGATGGAAATGGTCGTGGGTTTGGAAGGTGCTGTCTGAGGATCTTTGGTCAATTTCTGCAGTGTATCTTGAAGATAGTACACATTCCTGCAGCTGAGTGTCAGTGGTGGAGGGAGTAGATGCTTGTAGATATAGTACTGATCAAGCGGTTTGCTTTGTCCTGGATGGTGCCAAGCTCCTTGAGTGTTGTTGGGGCTGCAGTCATCCAGGCAAGTGGGGAGTATTCCATCACACTCCTGACTTGTGCCTTGTAGATGGTGGACAGGCTTTGAGGAGTCAGGAGGTGAGTTACTTGCTGCAGTATTGCGAGCTTCTGACCTGCTCTTGTAGCCGTTGTGTTTATGTGGTGAGTCCTGTTGAGTTTCTGGTCAATGGTAATCCCCAGGATGTTGATAGTGGGGGATTCAGTGATGGTAACACCATTGAATGTCAAGGGGTAGTGGCTGGATTGTCTCTTGTTGGTGATAGTTGTATCCTGGCATTTGTGTGGCACGAATGTCACTTACCACTTGTCAGCCCAAGCTTGGATATTGTCCAGATCTGTTGCATTTGAACATGAACTGCTTCAGTATCTGAGGAGTCACAAATGGTGCTAAACATTGTGCAATCATTGGCGAACATCCCCACTTCTGACCTTATGATGGAGGGAAGGTCATAGATGAAGCAGCTGAAGATGGCTGGGCCAAGGACACTACCCTGAGGAACTCTGGCAGAGATTCCTGGAGCTGAGATGATTGACCTCCAGCAACCATGACTATCTTCCTTTGTGTCAGGTATGACTCCAACCACCAGAGACGGTGCCCCTGATATCCATTGATTCCAGTTCTGCTCGGGCTCCTTGATGCCTCACTCAGCTGAATGCAGCCTTGATGTCAAAGGCTGTCACTCTCACCTCACCTCTGGAATTTAACTTTTTTTTTCCATCTTTGAACCAAGGCTGTAATGAGATCAGGAGCTGAGTGGCCCTGGCGGAACCCAAACTGGGCGTCACTGAGCAGGTTATTGCTGAGCAAGTGCTGCTTGATAGCACTGTTGATGACACCTTCCATCACTTTCCTGATGATCGAGAATAGACTGATGGGACGGTAATTGGCTGGGTTGGATTTGTCCTGCTTTTTGTGTATAGGACATACTTGGGCAATTTTCCACATTGTCGGATAGATACCAGTGTCGTAACTGTACTGGAACAGCTTGGCTAGGGGAGCGGCAAGTTCTGGGGTACAAGTCTCAGTACTATTGCTGGAATGTTGTCAGGGCCCATAGCCTTCACAGTATCCAGTGTCTCCAACCGTTTCTTGATATCATGTGGAGTGAATCAAATTGGCTGAAGACTGGTATCTGTAAGGCTGGGGACCACTGGAGGAGGCCGAGATGGATCATCCATTCATCACTTCCAGGTGAAGATTGCTGCGAATGCTTCAACCTTATATTTTGCACTGATGTGCTGGGCTCTTCCATCATTGAGGATGGGGATATTTGTGGAGCCTCCTCCTCCAGTGAGTTGTTTCATTGTCCACCACCATTCATGGCTGGATGTGGCAGGACTGCAGATTATAGATTTAATCTGTTGGTTGTGGGATCGCTTAGCTCTGTCTATCAATTACTGCTTTATCTGTTTGGCATGCAAGTAGTCCTGTTTGGTGGATTCACCAGGCTGATGCCTGGTGCTGCTCCTGGCATGCCCTCCTGCACTCTCCATTGAACCAGGGTTGATCCCTTTGCTTAATGGTAATGGTTAAGTGGGGGATATGCCGGGCCATGAGGTTATAGATTGTGCTGGAGTACAATTCTGCTGCTGTTGATGACCCACAGAGCCTCATGGATGCCCATCTTGAGTTGCTAGATCAGTGTGAAGTCTGTTCCATTTAGCATAGTGATGGTGCCACACAACATGATGGAAGTTATTCTCAATGTGAAGGCAGGACTTCGTCTCCACAAGGACTGTGCGGTGGTCACTCTTACCGATACTGTCATTGACAGATGCATCTGCAGCCGGAAGATTGGTAAGGATGAAGTCAAGTATGTTTTTCCCTCTTGTTGGTTCCCTCACCACCTGCCACAGACCCAGTCTAGCAGCTATGTCCTTTAGGACCTGACCAGCTCGATCAGTAGTACTGCTGCCGAGCCACTCTTGGTGGTGGATATTGAAATACCCCATCCAGAGTACATTTTGTGCCCTTGCCATCCTCAGTGCTTCCTGTTTTGTTGTGTTGTTCATCACGGAGGGGTACCGATTCATCAGCTGGGGAGCATGGAACGTGGTAATCAGCAGGAAGTTTCCTTGCCCATGTTTAACTTGAAGCCATGAGACTTCATGGGGTCCAAAGTCAATGTTGAGTACTCCTGGAGCAACATCCCCCCGACTGTATACCACTGTGCCCCCATATCTGCTGGGTTTGTCCTGCCGGTGGAACAGGACATATACAGGGATGGTGATGGTGGTGTCTGGGACATTGTCTGTAAGGTATGATTCTCTGAGTTTGACTATGTCAGGCTGTTGCTTAACTAGACTGTGAGACAGTGCTCCCAATTTTGGTGTTAGTGAGGAGGACTTTGCAGGATCAACAGGGCTGTTTCTGCCATTGTCTTTTCCGGTGCCTAGGTCGATGCCAGGTGATCCGTCCAGTTTCATTTCTGTGGAACTGTACTGTAGTGAGGAAAAAATTGTGGGGTAATTTAGAAGGGGCAGGAGAGGAATGAATTATTCTACTTACGTGGGATTTCTGTGGTTCTTTTGCTAAAGTTACTGTGGATGAAAATAACTTTGTCCCTAATGTTTTCAGAAAATCAAAAAGGGAAATTTGGCAGGGTGGAAAAATAATTGCTAATATATTTGCCTGAAACAAAATAACAGGATGCTCTTTCTGCAGATTTTACTGACCTCATTTACAGAAAGTAGACTGGCAAAGTTTTTGCGGTGAAGTGGGAGCAGCTCCAAGCAAGTGCCCAGCCTATCGAAAACAAAACCTTGGACATTTCCCTTTTCCTACTCAGCTACAATGATGATAAACTAAAGCATGTGAAGATCATAGTGCAGCTAGGAAGTTGCCGACACACTGAAGTATGCGCAAAATCGTCAGAAGATGGGAAAAAGGAAACAATTTATGAGCCTTCTGGAACGCTAACAAAATTTAAACATATATGTAGTCAATGTTACAATTATAAACAAACCCCAATATCATTGTTGGCTCTCAGCACTGAAGTAATACCAGTATGTTCTTACTATTAGTGTTTTTACTCTATCAAAATGAAAGAAAATTGCATTTACTTCACAGGCACAGACTTTTTTCAAACAAAATGTCATAAGAAAGACTCTAGTGATTTAAATACTCAAAATTTCCTGAGCTTCATTTGCATCTCCTCAATAAATTTAACCTCAAACACTTAAACAGAAGCTTATATGGAGTTTATTAATTCTGTTCCTACATTGTTACTTGCGATAACTATCGAGTTCAAATTTAACTTTGGGATGTACGTTTAATTAGTCCCTTCAGAAAGCATCTATCAAGCTGTCTCTGAGATCTACAATAACAAGGTTGTGCCTGAAAATGTCTTGTGGCATTGTTCCATTTCTGTATCAGTGAAGAGGTAATATGGTGGCTGAGTGCAGTTTAATTCTAAGTGTTCGATTATAAACTAGTCACATAGCAATCAGTTCATAGGAATGTTCTCTGCCTAAAGATACTGGAGCTTGATCTCGATTGGACTGGACTTGGCAGCTGCAGCCTACATGTTAATATCTCATTTCCTTCCATGCTCATTTCACACTACACAGAGAGGAATGCTCAAGGTTAAATGGGAGAATTTCTTCACCATAGTTAAAGCAACATAATCATTTTACAGTAGGTTGTACATGGACAAGAAATGAGAGTTGTTAACATTGGACAAAGCATGAGTCCATTCACACTAAAGGATGAACATTACCAGAAACAGTAAGCTCCACCTGAACAAGTGGGATAAATACATTTTTTTCTTCTCACTGTCATTGTAACACTCCTCTTTTCATAAAATCTGGGCTATGTAGTTTTAATCAACAACTGTCACTGCCAATTTAAATATTAGGAAAGTTTCAAAGGCAAAAGCAATTCCTTACTCCGCAGAAAAGAACCATACCAGAATTTACTGACGTAGTCAACAAGTTTGGAAGTTTGCAATGCTTATGTAGAACATAAGAAATTGAAATATTCAACTCAGGGGCTGCGAGATTCCTGTCTTCAGATGAGAGTCCAATGGAACAGAATGTATCCAGGGATGGTGATGAAGGTAACTGAGACATTGCCTGATAGCTTTGGTTCTGCAAGTAAGACAATGTCAGACTTACGCCCTGGTTTCTGTTTGGTGGGTTTGTTTCAAATTGATCCACATCGTATCTCACAGACATTTGGACTCAACTCTGGGAGCCAGAAGGGATCCTTTATCCAGGCCTACCTGTGAATAAAGTCCTGTGGGGGAATTCAATGGTGTGATCAGATTGGAATGTTCCTGAGTTCTTTTCTGAATTTCTGAAATTTGTGGAGTTTTTGGGTGTGGTTAGGGTGGAATAAGGAACTGTAATGAATGCTGTACTCCAATCAGAAATGATATTACAGATACAATAACAGGAACTGATTGCTTTATTACCCTGGAATCCAAATCAATCAAATGGTAGCTTAAAGTGATCTTATGACCACCCCCACCTCCTACCTACCAGCCTCATCCCCGCCTCCTTGTCCTGTCCATCTTCCCTTGACTGACCAACCCCCATCCTAATTCCCCACCTACACTCACCTTTACTGCCTCCATCCCCACCTCCTTGACCTGTCCATCTCCTCTCCACCTATTCTGCTCCTTTATCCATCTTCCATCCACCTCCCCCTCTCTCTCTCTATTTATTTCAAAATCTCCTTTCCCTCCCCCATTTCTGAAGAAGGGACCAGACCCGAAACATCAGCTTTCCTGCTCCTCTGATGCTGCTTGGCCTGCTGTGTTCATCCAGCTCTACACCTTGTTATCCAAGATAAACCTTGGATTTGTTAACACTGCCAGAAATTGGTGGCAGATGCTCATCACTTACTTGCATCTCCCACTAATCCTGATGTTATCTAAAACTTGTATTGAAGGGAAGTTTTTGTCCTGTCCTATTTGTAAGTACATTCCTACCAGTTTCCATTAAGTATTTGTATTAATTGTCAAATTTAATTGTATATATTGTATGTTTGTTTACAAATTTAAAATTGTCAAATCAAATACAGTTTTTAGCATTTATCATTACACAAGCCTTATCAATAATTAGCACTGACCTTAATTGATACCCTGATTAATTAATGTGATTAAATGACCATTGTGATTTCTTTACACTACATTAAATGGTGCAATTCTACTGTTTTGAATAACACGAGAGTCAAGTGTAATGGGCAGAAAGATGGGAAAGTAGAATTGAGGTTGCGAACTGATCAACCATAACCTTACCAAATGGAAAACCAAGCTCAAGAGGCTGAACAGCCTCCTCCTGCTCATATTTCTCATGTTCAATAGTTCAACTAACTCAATGCTGCTTGTCTATTTCTATTTCCCAAGCTTCCTGACATGCAAGCCATTCAGTGCCTAATTCATAAACTTGTCACTTAGCAAATTCTATCCTCACCTGACAAAATGAGAAATGATAAAATTCTACCCTGATAAGCTGAGAAGCAACTAATTCCTCCATTGACTGATCTTCCCAGGAAGAAGTGGGTCCAAATGTTGTATCAGGATATGGCTGCTGGTTACTGTTATATTCTGTAAAGGAGCGCCATTCCCACGTATTTGCTATTTCCTCACAAGGAAGGCCAGGTGATCTAGAAACGAGCTTTCTATTCAAAATATAACATAAGTGGGAGAGTGATGCTTCTCTGTCATCCTTCTCAAACAGAAAGTGTAGTTAAATGCAAAATGAAAGTGCCTGCAGAGTGAAATTAGTGGCAAGCTATTCTACAAGCCAGACATCAGAGAAACCCAATAGAAAAGCTCTCCTAATGCCTCAATGGTTAAAACCCCTGTCTATGAGATAAGATCAATCTATATCTCTTTACGGAGGCAGCTTATCTCCACTGGAGCATAGGAAGAAATTCCACAGCTGTACAGATATTTCCATATTCAATACTTGAGGTCTGATTAGTCAGGAATCCCTTTCTATGGTACACATTTAAAGTAGTAATGGAGATTTAGCATCTTACCCAATCCCAGCTCAATGGCCTTTACACGTGCATTAAGTAAGGATATTATTTGGGATTTTTAATACTTTACAGGAAAATGATGCAGGTATCTGATTTTCTAAATTATATGTGTGAAGGTCTATATACGTTTGCCATGATAACTATGTCTTAAATAAGTTGACCTTATTTGTTGCAATGCAGTGGTACAATACATAGGTATAGAATCCATATGGATAGAGGTAAGAAATAACAATGGAAAGAAGACACCAGTGGGAGTTGTCACTAAGCCCCCTAACAGTAGCTATACCGTAGGACAGACAATAAGTCAGGAGATATTAAGGTCATGTAAAAATGCAGTATATGAATCATGGGTGACTTTAATCTTCATATAGATTTAAAAAGTCAAATCGGTGGAGATAACCACCAGGAATTCATTACTGCAGAGGACTTTGAAGGCTGGATCATTAAATATATTCATAGCTGAGATAGACAGGTTTTTAAAAAGTAAGGGAATCAAGCATTATGGAGATGAAATAGTAAAGTGTGTTGAGGATTATCAGTTCTGCCATGTTTTCATTGAATGGCAGTGTTGACTCAATGAGCTGACTCGTCTATCTCTGCACCTAAATCTTATGGACTTATAACTTTTTAAATCTTATATTCTTTGGCATTGAAACAATATAAATACATCTGAAGTGCCAGAAATACCCAGGACTTTCACAAATTAGTTAGGAGAGAAGGACGAAAGAGCTAATCTTTACCATAATAGGAAACAGAGTGGGATTATACAACACTGTGGAACATCTGGATAACATCAGCCACAGTCTGAGAAGATGATCATTGAAGTATTTAGCCGTTTTCTTCTTCCAGGAAGTAGGTTGCGGAAACATTTCCCTCGTAAGTTGTTCTTTTCCTGTGTAGATATTCCATACCCTACAGTCACTAAGACTGCCCTTATATTGTCCCCTTTTCTGATTGGGAAATTGACCTTTGAACCTTCAGAGTTGCACTGCATGTTTTTCTGACCATTAGTCCAAACAGGTGTGAAAATGTGCATCACGTAGACCAGAATTTACTATGTATTCTGCTGTAGTCAAAGATCTCCAGAACAAAATGGAATCTGAAATAGAAAATCACCCCCAGAATGTTAGTTTAACATTGATATTAACCATTTGTGAGTTTGGATCAATACAAAAATAGCAGAGGAATTAGATCCCAGTGTGATGTTTTCATCTACTCAAACTAAATGATATCAAACCTTGGACAAAATTTTACACCAGATTTTAGTTTGTTGCAAAGCTGCGATTTGGAAGTGCATTTTCCATTGGACTATTTGAGGTATCTAAGAACTTTCTAAGGGGCCTATTTAATGTTATTAGTATACTGATGTTCTGGCTGAAACATTCCTAACTTTAAAAATAAGTAAAGCTCTGTTCCATGCTGTATTACACTATAGCTCTATGACTCTATGTGTCAAAACTCTTTCAATACAAACCTTCATGCATAGATGATATACATCAACTGATGGTTCCTTAACTACCAAAATCGTAAATGCACAGCCAGATAATAACAAATAACTGTAGACAGAAGTGCAGTAAAAGAACAGGTTTAATTTTCCAAAATAAATATAAGGGTCAGCCCAAGTACACATATTTGCAAATTAATCAGAATTAAATTAAATTAAATCACTTTGGAACTTCATACAGAGTTTCTTTTTCATTAGGTAGTCTAAATTCTGTCTTATGGGACCTGTCTGTACTCACTGATTACTGAAGAAACTATTTGTCTTAGTCTTGAGAAATATTATTGCTGCAAGTTTGCTTATAATAATTGCCGAGTCTATGAGGATACAGTACTTAGGCCACACAATGGTCCCAAAAGATGTAAGATAGAAAGTCAGTATTGCGTGAAACAAACACTTGATGTTATGCTTGAATCTATTATCAGAGGCATACTCCCTGAAAAACTGCAATCTGTAGTTTAATCTAACTGATAATGGATTTCCATGTTCAATGTTTAGATTCCAAAAAACTCTACAAGGTTATTAACACAACAAATAATTCCTGGGTTTGGGTATTTTTGTAAATAGAAAAATCGAAAGATAAACCTAATTTAAATAAAAGAATACCATCTGGGTGGCTTGTACTTTTTTTTACTTGTACAGTGATGATTTCTTATGTTGTTATTAGTGGCAATGATTTTCACCACAGCGACTTTCTGG